GTTGCCATGTTGTATCACAACAGAAGCTACAGTGGGGCTCAGCTGATGTAAAACAACAAAGACCAGGAGCAGAATCTGGCAGCTGCTCCTTTAGGATCAATGAAAAAACCCGTCAGTGGAGAACAAATATTAATAATTTAGTTCTGCAGTTTGAGCCTGAATGATTGTGTTTTATTAGGCCAGCAGCTGACAAGCTGTTCACTCAGAGGGGGTGGAGGTTTAAAGGCCATCTCATCTGTTTGCTTTTGTCCAACTCAAAGTGCTTCATTAATCTTTGATGCGCAGGAGCTGAAGCAGCGCGTCTCTAAAATTTGAAGAGATCAAAGTGTTTAAACGATCGTTCGTGTTGCTTTTCTTCTTGTGTCTTTATTTCAAGGTCGTCTTTGTCTGTCGTGAACTTGTCTCTTCCATTTTAAGGAAAGGTTCGTTGTCGTTCACGGTCTTGTCTGTGGTCGACCCTGAAGGAACCTGGCAGATAAATTTATGTCCCACAGTGGTGCAGCCTGGTTTGAGACCTTTAGTTTCTTCACGATCTGGTTGTCTCGTCTACAGAATGCACCGTGAAAATAAAGAGTGACATTTGTGTGAGTCAGGGTCTGAGGGAGGGTAAAATCACACAACTGTCTAACTGTAACTCTGGTTTTAACACCTTTTGGATAAACATCTATTATTCTGTTCTTTAGTAAAAAGTCCAAGCTTCTGTCTGTATTTTTTAAAACTTTGTCGTGGTATTTTTGTTAAACCTCCATTTACAACTAGTCTTAAGGGGTGATGTGCTGTATTTCAGGGAATAGATTTATGGAACTGTCTAGATCACATGTGTCAAACTCAAGGGCTGCGGGCCAAATGTGGCCCTCCACAGCCTTTTATGTGGCCTCAGAGAGCATCAAGGATGTATTAATGTCTTTAAAATAATGTCGTCAAACTTTTTCTGCAGTCTAATTGTACTGTGATGTGGGAACTGTTTACAAGTCATAAATTTGAACTGTAACGCCCCTCAAGTGGGAGTTCCCTGTCAGAAAGTGGGAAAGCTCATAATTCAAGCTGGTAGCTACTTACTACAACTCATTAGTAAGTAAAACTCTTAATTTCATTTTTAATAGTATTTCTGTAATATTTAATTTACACTTAGTCATTATGCATATATTTTTCAGTGTTTATAAGAGGACGTGTTAAACACTATTTTTATGCAGGACATACCAGGTAGAGCTCAGTTATTGTTTGTTAGCAGTGCTAAACCCTAGCATTGGGACGAGGAACATGATGTTTTACGTTAAACGTGAAATGTAAAAGTTAATTACAACTGGCCCTTTTAGGGCCACCATGAAGCTCATGTGACTCGGTGAAAATGAGTTTGACAACCCTGGTCTAGATACTAATATAAAAACAGCAAAACAATCTTTGTGTTCAAAAAGTCCTATATGTTTCATTCACTTTGCTTTTTTTTTTTTCTTTTATTATTTTGTACATATTTTGTGTTTTTTGAGTGGGAAATTTATTTCTTTTTTTTTTAAATAGATGGCGGCCCTCAAAGGGCCAGTCGTAATTATAGGTGTAATTTGTATGGGGGTGAGGGGGGTTTTGACCCCCACAATAATTTGATCCAGTCAATATAACCCCCCAATAAAATGACATTATTTGCTCAAACACAATAGAAGTTGGTTAAATAGATAAATGCAGCTTCCTTGTTGTCTTTAGGTAACTTTGACCTGATTAAAAAATTTACAATCTCATATATGTACATTTAAGCGTAATTGCTGAAAATAATATGCAGGGTTTCAGAACATAACTCCCCCAATGGTAGGCCTAAAGTTGGTCGTAATAAACATCGTTTTGTGTTTATCTTGAACTAAACACAAAACGTCACAGTCCTCATCTCATTGCCATGACTGAGCACCTCTAGCAAACACTAACCAAGCTCTACCTGGTATTTATTGCATAGAAACAGTGTTTTAACACATCCTGTTGTAAACACCGAAAATTACCATATGTACGACTGACTAAATGTGAAATAAATAAAACAGAAATACTATTAAAAGTAAAATTAAAAGAGTGTTACTTACTGTTGAGTTGTGGTGAGGAACTGCTGTTGTGAATTCTGAACTTGCCCACTTTTCCAATTGGGAATTCCAGTTTAAATTCATGACTTGTAAGTGGGATTTACCAGCTTCCCAGTAACACATGGCCACAGCAAAAGTAGCCAACAAAAATGCAACTTTATGTAGAATTTACACTGAATTTCACTACTTTTGAAACCTGTGCAGCTCCACCTAGTGGTGGAATATTTATTTTGCAGGTAAAATGATCAAGATGCATTATGGGAGATGTAGTTTATGGTCAAGTCTGGCTTTAAAGCAGTTTATTTTGAGATATTAATATAGCTTTGACGCTCTCGCAGGCCACATAAAATGCTGTTGCAGGCCACATTTGGCCCACGGGCCTTGAGTTTGACACGTGTTTTGGTGTCACTGTGGAGATTTCAGTTTGAGTTTCGTCTTGACGTTCTTCTTGTCTGTCCCACAGAGTGGTGTTTGTCCACCACTTGTTTCTCTCGTGCGTAAGACAGAGGGAAACGAGCGTCAGTAAAATGAAAGGTGAGGGTTAGAGGGTCCTGCGCTTGGTGGGGTGGGGTGGCCTTCCTCCGACTGAAAGACGGACTCCTGCTTGACGTAATAACCAACACTGAACAAAAGGAAGCATACCAGCCTGTGCCACAGTGGGTCACAGTCTTCATGTTTCCATGTGAAAGAATTCTTCGTCACTGAATCCTTGTGTGTGTGTGTGTGTGTGTGTGTGTGTGTGTGTGTGTGNGTGTGTGTGTGTGTGTGTGTGTGTGTGTGTGTGTGTGTGTGAATGCGACTATTGTTTATAAAGCAGAAGAGCTGCTGCTTTTATGAGGCCACAGATTTATTCTGGGAACACGTTTTTTTATTTATTTTTATTTTTTTTCTGTTTGGTGGAGATGTAGGTCATTGAAAGTATCCTCAGGCCAAAGTTCTACTCTGAGACGTACAAAAGGCAGCTGCACTTAGCGAGGCGAAGAGTTGTATTTTGTTATTTCAGTCTCGTGTCCACATGGAAACGATGAAAATGATGATGTCATAGTCCCTCCTCCTGCCTAACCAACTAGTAAAAGCTAGTTTCTCATCAACGGCGAAATTTTGTTTTAAGGCTGCAAAGGTTGAGTTCATTCTGGTCTGATGTTTCTGTAAATGTTATATTAGACCTCTGAACTATATTAAATAACACGGTTCCGATATTTCTTGATAAACAGACACAGACAATGATTGGTGAGTTTTATATTTAAAAAAATTGTTAATCTTTATTTTTATGTCATTCTGTTTGTGCCATGTTTCCTCCAGAGTCTCCCTAATAAATGTAGAAATGTGTTGTTAGTCCAGATGTGACAAAAGACAGTCCTGAATGATGTGTTTAACTCTTTGAGCTCGTTTGTTTTCTGCTCCTGTAAAGTTTGGTTGAACCACATGAAGAGAAGAAAGGCTTCTGTTGGGTTTGCTGTGTTGGGGTTTCCCAGGCTGCCTGGTTGACTCTGCACTCACACCAGATAATACCCGCTTTAAAGAGGCGCAAACACAACAAGCTCAGGCCTCATCTCCTTCACTGTAGCTGTGATAAATTCCCATTAGAACATTAATCTTGTTCTGACAGCTCAGGGGTCCACAAACTGTGGTCCTGGGGCCACATGTAGCTCTTCAGCCCCTCTGAAGTGGTTCACAAGAAAACATAAACCTGACTCTTGTTTAGGTTTAAATTGACACTGAAGAAAGTTACTTTCAGCACCTTTTTTGTCCAGAATTTGTAATGTTTGTAGAATAAGACGTGTGGATTTTAAGAGATCAGCAGACTATAAAGTAGTAACTATAAACACATTGTTTCCACAGCTTCCTATCGTTTCAGCAGCAATGAAACATTGAAGTGAAATGTATTGAAAATGCAGTGATTATTGTTATTTAGCTGTCTCACTTTGTTTCAGTAAATCTCTGACATACAGTCAGATTTCCTCCAAATCTACTAGAAAATTTACATTTTTCAACATATTTTAGATGAATTGCTGGAAAACAAAATGAAGCCAAAAGCTTTTTCAGCAGGTAGTTGAAATGATCAGATTTAAAGATGTCAGATAATTACATAACATGCAGTCAGTTAATCAAAGAAACAAATATATAAATTAAGACCTGCATAATGAAACCACTTTAATAATTAGACATTTGGAGACTTTTAAGTAAATATTAATTTTTAAATTTATTTTTCTGTGTTATATTTGTTGCTGCCTCATAAACAGGACTCTCTTGAAAAGAGTTTTTTTTAATCGCAATGAGTTTTTATCCTGGCAAAATAAAGGATAATAAAAATAATTGAGAATCTGATGTATTTTTAGGTTTGCTCATTCCACGTCATTAGAATGCAACTAAAGGCTTTATTTATCCATAACCTACATATTTTATTCATTTTTCACAAATATAGAAAGATCTGAACTTAAACATTCTGAACAAGAAAGTCTTGAAAGTTTGTTTGTTTAGATCAGGAGGGTCGAAATTCAAAACTTGGTCTGAATCAAGAGCAAGTTTCTGTCATTTTTTAAATTGAAACATGTTATATAACAAATTATTCTGATAGAAATATAAATGATTTTTCCAAGTTTTATTTTACGTAGTGATCAGATCATACACGGCCTAGTTAAATGAAGACACACCTTTATCATTAAAGGATCATGCTTTCTCGATTATAACTTAGAGGTGCATTTTTCACAATCCAGCAAATTTGGTTAAAAAAACTCTCACTAAAAATCAAATTATTTGCGGTTAAAAAAGAAAAGAATACAGGAAAATATAATTATTTATTTATTTAAATTTGTTTTATTTAAAAATTTATTCATTTCATTTAAAACAAAGCAAATGCTGTACATACAACAAATAATAATACAACACAAATAAAATGAAAGGTAGCAGAAAGAAGAAAAAAATTATTATTGATATCTGCCCCTTTTTCAAAAATAAATAAATTGACACAGTAATAGTCATCAAATAACAAAACATTATAATTAACATCAAATCTCTGTTGATCTTTTCTGACCAAAATCAAAGATTAATGAAAAACTCAAACTTGCTGCTGTCATGAGAAGACTGCCGTTAAAACAGAGACAAAAGAGAAAACATAAAACTATTTCACATTTAAAGCATTACCTTTGGGGCCGGATAAAATGGTAAAGAGGGCCGAATTTTGCCCACAGACCTTCAGTTTGACATGTGGTGTAGAACTAAATAGTCGATTCTTTTTAACAATTAAAACAAGAGAAAATTGTCATAAAGTGTAGTTTATTACAGTGTTTCCCAAAGTTGGGGTCGGGACACAAAGTGGGGTCCCGAAACATCAAGGTGGGGTCCTGAAAAGATTTTCTGAATTAATTACATTTTTACCTTAGTTGTTACAAAGGAGTGAGGTTAGTGTATTTAAAATGGATAAATGTAGTATAAAAATATTGTTACTATGCCCATGTTTAGTTGACCTGATACAAATGTTTATCATCCAAAAACAGTTGGTGGCACAGGTCTGTGCTACTGTTATTTTGTGGGTCAAAAGCTGGAAAGTTTGGGAACCACTGCACTTTGGTTCCCAAAGTTGGGCTTGGGACCCAATTATGGGTCATGAAGCACCTTGGATAATCTCCAGAAATTAATTTAAAGGGTAATAAAATAATTGCTGATGTAATATTTTTCTTATAACTTTTACAAAAACACAAAATAAGCATAAATAAGTATTTATATTTGTGTACAAGCTGTTTAGATTGTCAAAAAGCCTGTGTTTTTAGGGTTATTAACAAAGTTTGTGTACTCAGACCATAATATTTGGGGTCACAAGTTTTTGCCATGGATATTTTGTGGGTCAGAAGATAAAAATTTTGGGAACCACTGGATTATAAGTAGTGTGTGCAGAGAGAAACACGTTCATTTTGTTTTCAGATTCTGCTCCTTCAGTAAAAATGTTTCCTTGCAGACTCATGGACTAGTTATTAAAAGAAGAATTAGCTGTTATATACATATATGTGTATGTGTGTGTGTGTGTATATATATATATATATACACACACACACACACATATACATACAGTATAAATTGTAGTCATTGCTTGTTTCTTAAAATTATGTTAATCGTATTGTTCTATCTGTAAACCCTCTCCCCTTCCTGCTGTGTTAAGGTGGTGGTTCCTACTCGAGTTGGACAGGTTTACGTCTACGACACAGGGAAATCAGATCTGGATGAATACGATGTCCCACCGAGACATCAGCCTCCAGCCCAGCAGGACATATATGATGTCCCTCCAACCCGTCAGCAGTACAGCACTCAGGTCAGACATCTCTGTCTTTATTTACTGGAAGGGTTTTTACAGACTTTCTGTCTAGTTTAGCGATTCTAGAAGAAAAGTCAAGAAATATATATATTTATATACACTTTTAGGAAGTGATTCTTAAGTGGGGTAAAAGGCTCTCAAATGAGGCAATACTCTTATTGTTAGGTGTAGAAAAACATTTCATTTCAAAAGATATTTTTTGCTTTAATTGATGGAAATTTCACATGACAGCCGCTGTCAACATGTCATTATTTAATGTTTGTTCTGCACTGCATTTTTATTTCCTGTAGTCAACGTATTTAAGCTGTGCGTAACAGCACGGGCATCATACGTGCAACCTTCTCCAGGGTGAATTGGTGAATTGTCACGTTGAGTCTGATTCATCGAGTCAGTGATTCGAGAAATGAACCATTTTGCAACACATTTCCTGCAAAGCTTCAAGGCTTCAACAAAGCCTCATCTCCTCTTCACTAGACATCTAATGTGGATATGAATGTAGGCTTTACATTCAGTCTACTTTCTCAGACCCAACAGCATCTATACCATTCAGTTTTTTATTGAATTGAGTTGTTTATTGATTGCGCGTGGGGGGACCTGTGTGCAGAGGGGACCAGTGTTCTGGTTTCTGAGCATGGAGCTGCAGGATGGGAGCACCAACACCAAAGTACTGTGTAACCAATTTAGCAACTAAAACATGGATTACAGTTAAAAATGTGTACTAAGAATAAAGGTAGGACCAATGTCAAAAGAACTAGGGGCGGCTGTGGTAGAGTGGTTAGGGTCCTTGCAAACTCCTTGAATTTGATGTTAACCGAGGTGTGGGAACAACAGTAGTCCAACAGATGGAAGAACAAAATGCAGCTTGATTTTCTACCCTGACACACACGGTCTCCTATAAAGGGCTCAACAATCCCACAGGTCCCCCCAGGATCCCTCAGTGGACCCTCGTGGTCTCTGCAGGTTGGAGTGGTTAAATGCTCAGAGTCACTCAGAGGTCTCTGTAGATCTAAATGGAAACTACAGGGAACTAGTCCTGGAGGATCTCTAAAACCTCTCCAAAGATACAACTTGTGAGGTTTTGGTTGATCGGGGGTCTTTCCTCTTCTTTTACGAGTGGTCCACATTCTTGTCCCCTCTGTCCTCTCATGGCTCATTTGGTCTCTCCTCTTGGGATTGTAAGCCCCCACCCCCACCCTTCTTTTTTTGTTATCAGCATGAAGATTTCGTTCAGTGTTTAGTTTGTGAGTCTGTGTTGTCTGATTGAATAAACAGATGTCCTTTGGAAGAATCAGACACCCTTCTTTTGAGGAGCTTGTAATCCACCAGAGGAAGTTCAGACTTTTTATGCACACAGTAGTTCTGTGCTGTAAATCACTTTATACAAACCTCTGTTAGACTTTTTATTTGACCACTTTGTGCTGTAGTAACCTTCAGTTTACACACTGTGACGTCATGATACGTACGTTTATTGACCGCTCACAGGAAATGGATCTTTAGAATAATAACTACTATGTGAGGAACAGATGATGTTGCATGTGAAGACGTATCTGTTAAAGTTCAGTTTCATTTCTGTTTAATTAGTGTTTATCTTTTCCTCTGTTTAGGTGTATGGCACTCCTCCCATGGTAGTGAAGGGGCCCTCTAGTGGTCAAGACATATATGATACCCCAGCCAGCTCAGACAAGAACGCCCAGCAGGCTGTAAGGCTTTATATCATGGAGATATGTCATAAAACCTTTATTTTTTTTACAATCTTTATAACGCTCTGCTCTTATCTTTAGGTTTATGACTTCCCCCCATCGGTGAGTAAAGATGTTCCTGACTCCCACCCAGTCAGGGAGGAGACCTACGATGTGCCACCCCACTTCGCGAAGCTGAAGCCCCAACTGGCCGCCCCCTCCGCCCATTATCTGCACAACAACGTCAATGAAGATGACGACGAGCCTCCAATTCCGGAGGACGTATACGATGTCCCACCGCCTATCTCTGAGAAGCATTATCTCAGAGACAGGGGCGTGGTCCACCAGCCCCCCCAGGATATCTACGACATCCCACCGGCTCTGCGTGCCGGAGACGTCCCGGTCCAAGATGTTTACAACTTCCCACGAGAGCAGGAGGACCGAGGAGGAGAGAGGGGAGACCAGTATGTCTACGATGTCCCCCCACAGGTAGGACAGTTAAAGAGCTGCTTCCACATCTGGCCTAAAATATGTAAATAGCTTTTTTTAACCAAAAGTCAATTTAAACCAAAAGGTTATTAAAAATGATCAGACAGAACAGGATGGTGAGGATCAGATCGCTGTAGCACCCCCACAGAATGCCTCGAGGAACATGATCAAAAGTCTTCTCCAGGTCCACAAAACACAAGTAGACCTGAGGGACAAGCTCTCAGGACCTCCTTAGCGACTCTGCAAGAGTAAAGATCTGGTCCGCTGTTCCAGGACAGAAGCCACACTGCTGTCTGTCAGGCCTTCAGTTCTGCCCAGTTTATTTCAATAACGTATTGGTTTAATTGGTGAAAATAAGACAGATTGTTGAAGTTATTGTTTTGTTTACTCTTTTTATGAAACAGGTTTAGGACATTGATTCCCAACCAGGGGTATGTTTAGGGAGTATATTACAGAGCTACGCCGAAACATTTCCCAGGTGTATAAAAAAATAAATAAAAATAGGACTGGGATATGTAAGGCCCTATGATTTCCACAATGCAGAAATCACCAATTTGACACTAAAATGGAATCCAGCATAAAACGCAGAATCTCACGGAATTTGCTCATTTGGGCAAGTTTCTGATGTATTTTGGACGCTGCTGCTTCCTACACCTGCCATTATCTGGTTTATTTATTTAATTACTTATTCACTTTCAAGGCAACGTTTTCATATTTATCTTTTATCTTCTATTTGAAAAGAATAAAATGCCTGATAACTAAACCTTCTAGGGGGTTAAATAAATAATTTTCATTTAATAATCAGCTGTTGTACATTATAGTTTTGGAGAATGATCATTATGTTTGACAGAGGAGGTACTAGTTAGTATGACATAATGGCTCATGGGGCACACAAGTCTAAAAAGGTTGGGAACCACTGCTTTAGGAGATATTTTGTAACGTTACAGCATTGTGTCATATCTTTTGTATGCTGATGATATATAGTTGTACTGTTCCTTTCAAGCCTCTGAGTTCTACAAACTGTCTGAACTCAGTAACTGTCTGTCAGACGTCAAACTGAGGCTGAACAACATCTACCTGCAGTTAAAGGCAAACAGGACAGAGACTCTTATTATCGCCCCTGATGATAAAATCCCTGTAATCAGGCAGCACATTGTTTGTTTTAAACTCCTTCGGTGAAAAATAGTCTCAGAAATCTGTCGTCTTTGACAGTTCCTTGTCTTTGAACACTCATTGTAGCTCGTCTTTTATCATTTAAGGAACATTTCAAAGCTGAGATSTTTTGTCACAGAAGGAACTAGAGATGATTGTTCACTCTTTTATTTCTTCTCATTTAGATTACTTTAACACTCTTTTTACATGTTTAAATAAACCCTTCTTGGCTCGGCTTCAGTCTGTGCTGAACGCTGTTAAAGACCCACAGGAGAGCCCACATTACTCCTGTTCTGGCCTCTGTTCACTGGCTCCCTGTGACTTTGAGGAGTCGTCTTAAAATTTTGGTTTTAACCTTTAGAGCACTTCATGGTCAGGCCCCCAAATACATACTGGACCTTCTGAAGCCTCTCTGTCCATCCAGGACTTTGAGGTCTTCTAATGAAATGCTGCAGGTGGAACCTTAAAGCCATTATAAAACCTGTGGAGACAAAGCTTTTCAGGTCGAGGCTCTGAAACACTCTCCCTCTGTCCCCTCGCTGCTCAGATTCCACTGACTCTTTTAAGAAACATCATTTTTATTCCACTTAGCTAAACTTTGTTTACTGTTTTTTAAATTGTTCATCATTCGTGACCTGTTCTTATTGTTTTTAGTAATTCAGCTCTGTTGGTGTCTGTGAAAGGTGCTCTAAATAAAGTTTCCTTCCTGACAGGTTGTCCGTGACGCTCAGTCCACCAGTGAGGACTTGAACGTGTCCTTTAAGCGTCTCTCTGCTTCGAGCACAGGAAGCTCACGGAGCAATCACTCCTCTTCATCATTAGACATGGTCCCGGTCCGCGATACCCCCTCGTTTGCCGCCCCCAGCTCCGGTTCTGGGAAGCCCCTGATCTTGGACCTGGATCAGGCCATGGAGCGTCTGTCCCACCTGCAGCAGGCCGTCGAGTCCAGCGTCTCCTTCATGATGTCCTTCATCACAGGGAACTGGAGGAGTCCGGCTCAGCTGGAGGGGAACCTCTCTGCCATCCACCAGGCTGCGGACCGGGTGCGCGCCACTGTCCGGGATTTCCTGGAGTTCGCGCGCGGCGCCGTGGCCAACGCCGCCCAGGCCACCGACCGCTTGCTGCAGACCAAGCTGGGGCGTCAGGTGGGGAAGATGGAGGAGGTCTTCCAGAGTTTGATCAGGCACAGTCAGGGCTTAGACGGCGTGTCGTGGTCCCACACGGCACTCTCCTCACCGACGCCGGGAGGGGACGACTTGGATCGACTCATCATGACGGCAAGAGGCATCCCCGATGACGCCAAGCAGCTGGCGTCTTTCCTCCACGGCAACGCCTCGCTGCTGTTCAAACGGACAAGCCGGCAGCCGCAGCAGCAGCAGCAGCTGCCCCTTCCCCCCATCCCGGGGGACAGCGGCGGTCAGCTGACAGGGTCGGGAAGTGGAACCTACCAGGGAGGAGAGAGAGTCCACATCCAGTCACGACCCCTCCCCTCTCCGCCCAAGTTTACAGCTGCAGAGGAGGAGGAGGAGGGCGTGCAGCGGCCGTACGAGGCCACAGAGGAAGGCTGGATGGAGGACTACGACTACGTCCATCTACAGGTACACACACACGTTTGTTCTTCTATCCTCATGGGGACTTTGCATTGACTTCCATTCATTTATCGATCATTTCTACAGCCTAACCCTGACCCACCAACAGTGTTTCAAACCCCAGTGGGGACCGGCTTTTGCCCCATAAGGAACAGTGGGTCCTCACCAGGGTTTATAGTTAACTAAAGCTAACAACAAAAACTGAAATGGAAAAAAAAACATTTAAGTCAACTGAAATAAATAATAACTATAATAAAAAGTAAACAAATTACTGATTAAAACTGTATAATCTTTATACAGAATTAACTAAAACTTACTGAAATTACAGACAGAATATCCTTAGTGTTTGTTAATTTATTTTGAGCTGTGTGGACTGATTAAACAAATCCTTATTTATTTATCTATTTATTTCAAATTGAGTTGTTTCACATTAGTTGTGGGCAACAACACTTGTTTACAGTCTGCTGCTCACCATCGTCTGCCAACTGACGACAACAAAAGTTGGGAGAAAGCAGCAAAGTCCACTTTGGGATTTTTTTTGAATATGACTGTGAGAAAAATCAAATCAATTGTCTTGTAGTGGAAACAGGTGATAAAATAGGTGAAATACTTCTCAAGGGAAAAACTGCATGAATCAAAATCACACAAGATGGCTGACTATGAATATTGACACACTAGCTTCTCTACTATTGAAGTATTAGTAGTATTCTCAGTATTCGTAGTAGTATTCTCTACTATGAGTATTGTTCATGCTAGCTCATCATGTGAAAAACAAGCAACAAGTTGGAGGCAACTATTGTCATCGTCCTAAAATAATCTCCCAGGTCTTTTTTTGGCAAAATTAAGTTACGCAGTTATTTTAGGAAGGTTTCGCTGTAATGGACTCTTTCACTGGCGACCAAAACGTTGCTGGTTAGTTAACTCACAGGAACATCACAAGCTTTGGCAAATATGTTTATTCAAACTATAAAAATAAAAAAATTATAGAACTAATCTAAACTAAACTAAAACTAAGCATTACAAATGCAATAATAACTAATAAAAACTATCAAGCCCACTGTAAAAACTAATTAAAACTACCGGTAATTGACTTAAAAGAAAAAAAGTCACAACAAAATAAAACTAAACTATAATGAAAATTCCTAAACTATTATAACCTTGGTGCTCACCAGGCTGTGTACCAGGAAAATGGTCAAAAATCATCCCCAGGTAGCAAAAACAGGTAGCAGAAATGAGTCTAAAGCCAAGCTTGAATAGTAGGTAGTTTATTCAGCAATCCCAGTTTTCATCAACGGGACATTAGGCCCCGCCCACATGACAACGCTGTCTTTTCAAAGCAATGTTTTCCTTCATAAACACAGCACTGTTTTTTCAAAGCTTTCCGTCCACACAGAAATCTAGAAAACCCATACGCTGTAATAACTATCCCAGGCCTGTGAGTGGTGCTGTGATGCCAAAAGTTACACCAGAAATAATTCACTTCAAACTGCGAACAGAAGAAGAAGAGGGTGAGAGAGAATAAACAAGCAAAAACTAAATCCTTCCTGTAGACTGATCACAAAGTGGAAGGTCTACTTTGTGTCTCATTCAGCTTTCGACTGGGAGACATGTCCGTCCAAACAAGAGAACAGAACTGACACTTACAGCACTCAGAGTAACGGCTGGGTAAATCATACAGTCTAAATCCAGGGGTGGGCGGTCCTGGCCCTCGAGGGCCGCTGTCATGTTTTCCTCTGATTCAACACCTGATTCAGGGATTGAATTCCCTCCTCAGGTTCTTCTCAGGTTGGTGATCACCCATTGATACAAAGCAGGTGTGTTGGAGCAGAGAAACCTCTGAAACATGCAGGTTAGTGGGCCCAGGGGCGCAACTACGTACTTTATGAGGGGTATGCGAACACATCAACGG